TATTCTATTCTATTCTATTCTATTCTATTCTATTCTATTCTATTCTACCCTACTCTATCCTATTGTCCATTCTATTCTCTATTTATTCTCTATTCTACTCTATTCTATTTATTCTACTCTCCACTCTATTCTATTCTATTTATTCTCTACTCTACTCTATTCTCAACTCTACTCTATTCTACTCTATTCTATTCTTGATTCCACTCTATTCTATTCTCTATTTATTCTTTACTCTATTCTATATTCTATTCTATTCTATTCTACTCTACTCTACTCTATTCTGTTCTATTCTACTCTCCACTCCACTCTATTCTATTCTCTATTCTACTCTATACTCTAGTCTATGGTATTTATTCTCTATTCTACTCTATTCTATTTGATTTATTCTACTCTCCACTCTATTCTCTATTCTACTCTATTCTCTACGGTATTTATTCTCTATTCTACTCTATTTGATTTATTCTACTCTCCACACTATTCTATTCTCTGTTCTACTCTATTCTATTCTACTTTGTGAACTGAACATCTCTGAAAGCTGAAAGGATGAAGTCCTCTCACCTGTGGTCCTTCCTGCTTCTCCTCCTCTGCCTGGCTTAAGAGGAAGCCTTCTGCCAGGGCCACCGCTTGGGAGCTGGTCTCTGCTCCACACTCCCGGACCCAGCCCTCCATCTGCAGAGGCAGAAGGGCCAGGAATTGCTCCAGGATCACTAGGTCCAACATCTGAGCCTTCGTGCGTCTTTCTGGCTGCAGCCACCGACGGCAAAGATAGTGGAGGTGGCTGCAAATCTCTCGGGGACCCTTAGACTCTTGGTACTGGATGCTCCTGAAGTGCCAACACTGGACTTCTGAATTGATGCTTTCCTTCTCCAGGATCTTCTGTCCGATTGTGGCCTGGGTCTCCCCAACCTTTTCACTTTGATCTTCTGGGTGTTGTCCCTCCATTTCCCCCGCCTCTATCACAGATCCAAATACGGATAACAGATCTCTTGGTTCTCCAAAGACTTTCCCTCCATACGATCTGGATTATATAAAGAGAAGGACCACAAGATGCTTCAGATGCTACACCTGAGTGCAACACGAAAGTCATTTCTAGAACGTTCCCACACAGGTTGAGGCTTTGACTCTTTAAAGACCCAGGCAGGTAATGTCAGAAATATTATGAGGAAAGAAAAGATAATGTGGAGTCAGTCAGGAAGGATTACA